TTGTGGACATGTGGGAGCCCCCTGCTCTGTTCTCATTGTTGAAAAAATCTTATCGATCGCATTGAATGACCAGTTTATCGAATCCATGGTTAGTAAAAATAGAGTTTTTCAGAAGAAATGCAGAGAAGCGCTCTGTGGGCAGACAGGACAAAGAGCCTTGGGAAAAAAAGATAAGGGAGCGAGAGAGAGAAGCGTCTGTACTCCTCGAATGCCTGAAGGAAACCAGTTTGCTGCTGTGAATGAGTAGTTGGTCCTTGTTTTCCAGACGGTATGCCGAAGCTTAAGCTAGGATCTTAGCATCCACATGTATAGGTCTATGGGAGCTGAAAACACTTGGATTCTTATTTGTCTTTTAGAGGAGACTTACTGAGGCTTGTGTTAAAGTATGGGAGAGGATACCCACTGAAATGGTTACCGCGTTTAGTAATGGGGTCGGTTTAGATCAATCTTGTGATTGTTCTTTCATGGCTCAGGCTTTAAAGGGTCAAGAGACAGCAGGTGTCTTTGTTAGCAGGACCAAACGTGACGAGCAGCTGTTTCATGGTTACTGACAGACTTTCTGCTCCATCGTGGACGCCTGCTGGGAAAACCAGGAGAAAACAAAAAGCTACAAATCAGAGCTCACCCATTCTCACACGTCCAAACGAACAACTCCAGAGCTTCGGACAGATGGAACTAAACAGCTACATCAAACCAACAAGTCATGGAGGTCAGAGTGGTTCGCTCTAACAGCACATGTGTTGGACTCCTCATGATCGTGGACATCAGGGCTCTGGAGAAGCCCAGATGTTTTGTCGTGTATGACGTCTTCATCTGGAGGCCTGATTTCCAGATGATTAAAGGAAACTGTCCAGATTAGGGCTTAACAGCAGAGGAATGTTGGCGCATGTGCCGTTTCCTCTGATCCACATACTGACTCTTATGAGGTGGAAAAGCCTTTTTATTTATTAACATTGTTTTGTTGCTCTGCTGTATTTCCTTCTGATGCCTGAGATGTAAACTGAGATTTAGCAATTGTAGCTCACAGATGATTGAGTCTAAAGGTGATAATTCTGTGATACATCTATAGTAAAGGTTAATCTGGAGGCTCCACCTCTCACAGACGAGAGTAAACGTGTGTGAAGCACAGACGTAGACAGACGTATACCGCCCTGAGCACTGGCGCCGTCTATTGGAGCTGCCGTAGTGGCTGGCCACCATCTTGGATGGGTCTCCCTTCATCCCCAGTGGATTCATTTCTACTGAGGAAGGTGTTTACCCAACTAAAAACCACATTTTATCGAGCTTTTTCACTGAATCAGACACAATGTGTGGTTAATTTAAATAAAATATAATTAAACCAAATAAATTTAAATATAAAATCCCAACAGGTAGGCTAGAAAAGTCCCTAGTGATCCCATGTGATCTGTTTTCAATAGCACACCGGTTGTTGTAAACGTAGGCTGCTCACTCTGCTTTGACTCTGGAGAGTGAAGAGACCTATCCAAGATGGCTGTGACACTGTTATGCTCTCAAACACCCAATGGGCATCTAGGTGTTCATGTCTGTGGTGCGAAGGGTCGGCTACTATCTCTCCATCACAGGCAAAACATGTGACCTTGTGACAGAAGTGTGCTCGCCTGATTACAGCTGGGGGGTCTCACGGGGTCAGAAGGTCATGGTGAACTGGGTCCATCAGGGAGACAAACCAGACTAGAGTTTATTTCAGAGATGTGTAATCTGATGTCTATAGTGTGTTGACATGTAGAACACACACACACACACAATCAAACTGTTGAACATCTGTAGCATGTTGGCATGAGCAGAAACATTCGGGCGTGTAAACACGGCGCTCCTGGAGCCTCCACATGTACTTATACAGTCAGCTGACTCCAGATCAGGTTTTGATGCATGAACAAGTACATGTTGTGTTTAAAGTTAAAGTTAAGGTCCCATTAGTTGTCACACACACTGATGTGTGTGCAAAATTTGTTCTCCGCATTTGACCCATCCCCTGGGGGAGCGGTGAGCTGCAGACACAGCCACACTCGGGATCCATTTGGTGGTTTCACCTCCCAATCCAACCCCTTAATGCTGAGTGTCAAGCAGGGAGGCATTGGGTCCCATTTTTTCAAAGTCTTTGGTATGACCCGACCAGGAATCGAACCCCTGATCTCCCAGTCTCAGGGCGGACACTCCACCACTAGGCCACTGCTACTACTTTGCTCTAGAATCAGCAGGTTTTAGTTAGAGAAGGCTGTGCTTACCTACGTACCAGGATTGTATGAACTATTATTTTATTAGAATATATTTGTTTGCCAAAGACACCAGTCGGAGTTCGGTTCACCTGGGTGGACATTCAAAAGAATTATTTTAAACACTTCTTTTAAATGTGTTTTTTTTAATTGTATTGCTAAACTAAAGATGCGTAAAAGAGCCAACACACAAACATTTCTGCTCAACGCCATCCAGAGTCAGGGGAGTTTAGGCCTGGGTTTGTATGCAGGTGGACAGCCAGAGACCACCACTGAGATCAGGGGCAGGGTTCAGCAGGTGACCTCTATTTCTCTGACTCACGTGGGTCTCAGAGATGGGTCTGACTTGCAGTCATCTGTAGCTATCAATAGTTAGATCAGTATTTATTCATGTATTTAGACCAAATCTGGACGTCCTGTGTCATTAGCTGCACACAGTCATCCAGAATAAATCTCCGTGGCAACAAACAGTAGCAGTTATGAGAAGTTGTTTCAGTATGTAAATGGGAGTTATTTGAGAGAGCTCAGCTGGCTGTTAGTTTCAGGATCTTCTACTCCAGCAGCTGGAAGTTTAAAAGGTCATTTATGACCTAAACAGGCTTTCCTGCAGAAGCGTCACAGCCAGACGACACAGGTGTTTCATCCTAGTCTGTCTCCATGCATCCCATGAGGACAAGAGACAGGATTAGAGATATGTAACCATAAAGCATCACATCGGGTCAAACGTGTGTGTGTGTGTGTCTGGGAAGTGAACCACCAGCGCGTGCAGCAGCATGAGAACACACAGATTCTCAGTTGTTTTGTTTTTCTCTGTTTCAGCCACAGGTTGCTCTCCGTCAGGACTCCACCCCTCACCTGTTTCTCAGGACCTTGGGGGGGGTGGGGGGTGGGTGGGGATGCTGTGGCTGTTTGCTCAGCTTGCACGATCCCTCTGATGGCTGGAAAGTTTACACCAGCAGCTGCACTTCTCACACGTTTTCTTGTTGGCCCTCAGGTCAGAGTCCAGGTAGCCTCCAGCAGGAGAAGAGGCTGTGATCCTGGTGTTCTCAGGTGCTTCTGCAGCCGTAAACATTCCAGACGACTCAAGCCTTCGTGTCTGAACCATCTGAACACAGATGGATGGATAAAAGCTCCAGACGTCTCTGAAGGCGACACAGAGCCTGAGTTTGTCCGTGTGTGTGTGTGTGAGAGAGGGAGGATATAAATGGATGTGTGTGTGTGACCTTCAGATGCACCAGGTTTTAGGTCATTACCTATAGAATAGACCTAGTTAAAGCTGTGTTTGCAGAGACTGGTCAGTGGTGGCGGCCATCTTGGATCTGGTTGTATTTGAACACCACATGAAGACTTCCTGGTTCTTTATTAAATGTTTCCATAAGAACTCCAACACATAGGACACCTGCAGAAACATATTCATGACTGAATTATAGTAAATATTACTGATCAAAGATCAAACACTCAAGGGGCTTTCTCATGTGTCCTGCAGAGATGTTCTGGAGGACGCCTGTGGATGTCCATCAGCAGGTCGGCGTGCCGCCAGCAGGCGGAGCAGACATGTGGTCCAGAAAACAGATGTCAGATCTGTAGCTCATTGCTCTACATGGACCCTGGTGAGACATCTGATGGGAGACGGAGACGACCTGAACATGGAAGACATGTCATAAAGGTTCCTCTGCAGAAGTCACAGGGGAGGAGCAGCTGCAGGACAAACAACTAAATCTGAGCAGGGACAGACACACACACTTTGCTTTGTGCTAGATGACCCTCGTGTCCCCTCTGCCTGACCATCAGTAATTTTCTAGAATTTATGCATTGTTTGACCTGCTGTGTTAGTGTGTGTGTGGGTTTCAGACCTGAAACTCTCTCACAGAGACCAGTTGTCACCTCTCCCTGTTGTTTCCTCCTCTGATGAGCAGGAAATGAGACATTTTGTCACAGGAAAAACAACCAAAGTGTGTGTGTGTGTTCAGGTTTCTATTTACACACAACTTTTGTGCGTTAGAAACTCAGTACAATGACTAAAGATTTAGCTGAGCGTCACTCCTCCCATAGTCAGGTTACCTCCGACGGGGTTAGAGAAACATGCCCCAGTAACCTGGAATAGGACAAATTTCAAATTTATTAAATAAAAATATCCTATAAAATGACGTGTGTTAAAGCCCAGAAACCTGTGGGTGAGTGACAGTCAGACCCGGGGTGACCTTTGAACCCTAGCTCAGCAGGAGGAGGGGAATGAGTCAGGGCTGGTTTCAGAAGCATGAGTGAAGGTTGTTGAAGCAGCATGAGTGGAAAAAGGGGCTGAAGAGGGCAGGTTACGCATGAGTCACTGACCTCAGATCAGCCAGGGTCCTGATGGAAAACAGTGTGTGATAACACACACACACACACACGCAAGTTAGTACGCAAACCTAAAGGAACTTCTGACTTGGTTCAGAACGCCTTGTCAAGTTGTGTGTGTGTGTAGCGGGGGGACCGCTGAGCTGATGGACCTCTCCACTAACCACTTCCCGTCAGGCAGACAAGACCGTAGAGGAACAATCAATTCCATTATGAACTTCATAGATATGGTCAAGTTAACAGTCTCAGGATAAAACTGTATATTTACCAAGCCCTTAGTCCCAGTTCTCCCAACGAGCACGTTCGTGGTCTGCAGGAGGAACCCCACGGCACACGAGAACGTGAAACCTGCACCCGCGACCCTGATTATCCAAATCCTCCCAACTCGGTTAGACATACAGCTGAACAGATGAAAGCTGAGGCTGACCATGCACTTAATAATCTTTATTCATCGTTTGTTTCACACACACTTCCTGGTGTACATTTTCCATCCAAAAAGGAAAAACTCAAGTGAGGTAAAAGTGCTGAAAAATGAAATTCATAATCATAATCGTCATTACAAAGCTGACATCTCATTTCTTTCACCATTTCCAAATGAAAAAAAAAAGGTGCAACATTACTTACTTTCCCCCACACACACGTCACCACACACACACACACACAGGTCTGCTGCTCCAGGACGACCATCCATCAGCCGCTGTAAGACAAGCCAGGCTGAATAATAAACATGAATGTCTGAGCAAAGACAGGGAGGCAGACAGACCCACAGCAGAAAGACAGGTGGAGGACAACAAAACTACACTTCGGTTCATGTCCTCCCCGACGTCCCTCACAAAGGTTTCATAGTTCCACGCAGACGCCCACTCACCCAAACAGGAGGGGACTGGACCTGACCTGTACTCAGGAAGGCATCCACCCCCATGGGGAAAAGCAACCGTAAACACACGGGGTGGGCGTGGGACTAATTTACTCTAGGCTGAGGAAAAAAAGTCTCAAACCTATCGTCAATATGGCACCGACGACAATCACTCGACTTTATAGGTCTATCGTTGGGGGGGGGGGGACAGAGAGGGGACACTCTGATCAGCAGATAGCACCCGCTGCTGTCAGAGGAGGAGCTTCTGTCCAACGCTCCAGAAATGTTCCTGGAAACCACATTAGCTTATCGGCGTTCCTCCAGAACAGAACCAGGAGGGGCTCTAATGTTCAGAAAAATATGGCCGCCGGCGACAGACCCATCCAGGCGGGTCTAGGGGAAAGTCTGGGGACTGAAAATAAAGAAAACATCCAAACTCAATCCAAAAGATTCCTGCTTTCAAACTAGACCTGCTGCTAGAGTCAAAACCTGCAGCAAAGCTTCTCAGGATTTTAAAAAGCACAAATGAAACTAATTACCCAAACTTTTCCCTCTGATCCCCATTAAAACCCAATTAAAACAAAAACCCTTCCAACAGAAAAAGGCACGTTTGGGTTGCTGGTTGTGAAGCTGCCTCTGCTCTCGACGGGGAAGGGTGAGGGTCTTCATCCACCCAGATAAGGTTATCTGCTGCCTGCCATCTCCTGTCCAACGGCTGGGGGACAAAATGAGAAGCGGGGACAGGCTGGAGCAGTCCTAGCGTTAGCTGCCAGCTAGCCATGCCGCGCTGCAACATTAACACTAATAATAGGCTGCTCCACAAATAGACGGGGTAATGGGCTGCTCTGTCAACAACTCAAAGTCTGCAAAGAGACGTGGGGTTCGTCCTCTCAAGACCACAAAAGGGGTTCAAACGCACCGGATAGGGGACAGGAAATGACTCAGTTGTTAGCTAGGACCCACATGCAGTTCTAGCTCCCTACTTTGAAATTCCCCAGGGGGGAGGAGATTATTATAGATGGCCCGTATTCTGAGAGCCGCGTCACAAACAGGATCTGGTTTCAGGGCCGCTGTCAAGCCCGCAACGGCTGCATGTGCTGCTCCTTATAAGGGAAGAGACGGCCAGTGGTCCACAGACGGGCCTCGTCCACCCGTCCTGTCACTCAGACTCGCACACTGCCTCTCACTACCTCTTTGGGAAAATAAATGTACAAAGTGGGCAAGGAAACCACAAAAACACAGAGGTGTCCGACGAGTTCCCGAGTGAAAACAGCGCTCCGAAAACTGGATAAACCAGGAGAGGAGCCGAATGCTCCGAGATTCACAGTGAGAACAACAACGACCAAGTCCAGGATTGTTTACATCCATCAGGCTCATGATGGCACCGGTCAAAGTGAATTAAAACTAACAGCTCTTCATGTGCCACTGCGCCCCCTTAGACACCGAGGATTAGACCAATCAGACCTTTTCTTCTACATTTTGTTTTTTTTCTTCAGATTTTTATCTTTTTTTTTTTTTAAACAAGAAGGAAATCAAATTTGAAGCTACAGCTTTTCGACTTCCCTTTTTTATTTAAAGGTCTGGGGGGTAAACCTAGAGGTGAAGGCACTCTTAAGTCATCTCCATGGAGACGAAGGCACACAGAGAGACTCCAAACACAAAAAAAAAAAAGACCTAAAAATGTCCTCTACTCAATGTGGACGCCTCTGTAAATAAGGAATGAGGAAGGATTCCAAACTCAAAAGCAACACTGGGTGTGTGTCTGGAGACGATCACAGTATTTATTGCAACCGATTTTTTTTCTTGTTCTGGTTTTCCTCAAAAGCAGCAGCCACATCTTCCCGTCTTCCCTCGGCTGTTTCCTCAGTTACAAGGCAGCCATGTTGGAATGTTCTGATTGGCCACATAGTAGTTGCTGAAGTTGTGGTCTCTGACGTACGGCGCCGGCTGGTAGTAGCAGGTGACGCAGGACGCATCAGGGATGGCGCTCTGCTCTGCCAGCACCCTCACAGACATGGAGGCCAGGAGCTGGAGCGTCTGCCGCCTCTCATGGCCCATCAGGCACACCGTGCTCTCGTTCACCACTTTCCTCAGGATCTGGAGGTAGTCATACTTGCTCTTGTCCTCGCCAATGAAGTGGCTCTGGAGGTAGGCTTCCACCTTACGCTGCTGCTCACTGATGTCGGGGAAGTCGATGAAGAAGCGTGAACACATGTACCTCTCCAGGGCCTTGAACTCCTCCTGACTGGCCGGCTGGAAGGCACGCACCAGCAGGTTGCAGTACTTAAGCAGGCCACCGCCACGGATCTCCTCGGGCCGTTTGGTGGCGATGAGCTTGTTACGGAGGTGGTGCAGCGCTGTGCTGAAGTCCCCGTACATGCTCTCCCCCAGGACAGTGGGGTGATGGGACTGGGACATGGACAACTGGGACTGCTCATAGTGGGAAAGCATGGAGTCCAGCACAATCTGAAAGGAGTCCACGCTGAACTCGAACTGCCGGCGTATTGAGTCTACAAACTTCAGCTCTACGTTGCGGCCGTTATTGTTGGAAAGCGAGATGAGGCTCCAGCGGTCCTGCTCCGTGTTCACCTTCACCAGCTTCTGGACATAAACCTCTTTGAGAGTCATGGGTGTGATTTTCTCTTTGTTCACACCTTCAGGTAGGAAATCCAACAGGATGCTCAGCACAACATCCTTAACCAGCTTGAACTCGGCCTCTGTCGGCAGGTCCACCCTGAAGATGACGTCCAGGTCCTTGTAGCTCCAGCCGATGTCCTGCACCAACACGTGGCTGGCTGTGGAGCCGTTGAGACGGATGTCCTTCACCCAGATGCCGCTGAACTCCAGGCGGGAGCGAACCCGGGCCACTATATCGCTCAGCTGGACCTCTAAGGTAGGGAAGTTCCCTCGTCCATGAACAGGAACAACCTCGGTCAGGACTTCATTCAGACGGCTCACCTGCTCCCAGGTGAGGACAGAGCTGCTGGACTCTTTGTTGTCCATCTTTTCACAAATTCAACTGAAACCGAAAAAAATAAATAAAACAAATTATTAATGTGACACTAATCCAGCGAGCATCGACTCCAGCGAGACTGATTTTTATTTGCATATACAATTAATTTTGTCAAATAAAATACAAATATGTACCATATTATGCCATCAAAACATTAAGTATAAAGCACACAAGTGTAAACCACCATTGAGGCGCAAAGATAACTCATTTACAGCAGCTAGACGTTACTAAATAATTGGATTAAATCAGAAAAAGCTTTGAAAACTTCAGTTTTCCAACTCCTCAGGAAACAGGATCATTCAACACGAGCCCGCTGAGAGCGCGCACGAGCCAGGCTGCTCGTGAGAGTTCTAGAACAGCTCTCAGCGCGAGCCCGGCTGCTTTCATTTCTGAACCGCTTAGAGACAAAGTTCCCCTCGTCCATGAACAGGAACAACCCGTTTCCGAACGGAAACACCGAATAGCGACTTGAATAATCGGGACACGTTTTCGGTCACAACACCGACGGCAAACATTTGTGGGGTTTTCCTTCTCTGGACAGCTGACGTTAGCAGGCTAAAGGGTAAAGTTCGTTACGCGAACCAGAAACGCTCACATCCGACTTCATCCTGATCCATATGGCGACGAGGTTTCAACTATTTAACAGACGAAACCGGTGTCGCGTTCAAATTCTTTTTACAAACTGACTTCAGACGCAGCTTTACCTTCACAAATGATTAAAACCGAAAGAAAGTAGGACGTACATTACCGAGGGAGTGCTCCGTGTGCCCGTTGAGTCGGAGGAAGATGTTAAGCTAGCGCACACCTCCGCATAATCCTCTGTCTGAAGGAAGCTCACAGAGCGTTTAAAACTGCGTTTGAACCACGACCTCCGCGCGAGACACGCCTTTTTTATAGAGCCGCAGCACCACCCGCTCAGATCAATGCGCCGCAGCGCGACACAGGCCCTCTCACCGTAAATACCACGTTTACCGAATCAGAACCGAGCCCGGGACCGCACAACACCACGAAACGGTTACCTGTACGTTTAATCGGTACTGCAAACTCCCGGTTTCTCACACGGCCGAGCTGACTCTGCGACGTTTGTGATTGGTCAAAAATGTTTCGCCGTTGCTAGGTAACGAGACGCATGTCCTGGAAGTTGATTCTCCCAGGTTGTTGTTCCGGTTGTTTTAACGTGAAAATCGCTAGTAAATATGCAATATGTGTAACGTGTTCAATATTTAAACTGTAGCCATATTTTGCAGGTCTATGGAAGCCTGAAGGGTTTAAAAAGTGCAATTTCTATTGTTGTGTCTCGAGATCAGGACATGCACATATACAGGTAAATAAATTAGAGGAAAAATAAAATAACAAGGTTCTTAAAATATATTGAGCCCAAAAATGCAGGCAAAATAATTATTATAATACATTATTATTATTATTATGTTGAATGCTGGAGACAGACACCAGCTCTAATGAGGATGATGCAAATAAATAATGATTTAAACCAGAAAGTTACCTTTATAAGGTTAAATAATGAGAAAATAAACTTTCTGAGTCATACATTTAGGGAACATGTACTTAAAGAACAAGTCACCCCCTACCAGAGTCTAACCACTCCCACTTCATGTTTGAAAAAGGCAACAAATGCTGTTGCCTAGCAGACCGAGAGGGCGGAGCCGCTAACAAACACACACACACACACACACACACACACACACACACACACACACACACACACACACACACACACACACACACACACACACACACACACACACACACACACACACACACACACACACATGCTCACGACAGCATTGTGACATCATAATGTACCAGTTTACATCATAGCATACCTCTTAGCCAATATCGATGGCAGATTTAGATCCAAATACAGTGCAGAATTTTTACCTGACAACGGCACAACACTGACAGTTATAGACAGAATATTTACATTTTAACTAAAATGCACTAAAGTGCCAAATTATTGACTACACGTGTCTGCAGCACGATCAGACACTCGTTTATTTAGTTTATCAGCAAAAAAAAGTTTATTTGGGGGTGACTTGCTCTTTAAAGGTCAGATGTGTCATCCTTTAGTTGAACATCATCAGAGTCAACCCATAAGTCTTTGGTATTCTTTATTGATTCATATAAAGCAGAGCTGACCAAACTTTCCAAGGCGAGGGTCAAAATTGTTAATACGTCTCACATGGCAAAAAAAAGTACTTTTTATTTATAAAATGTGAAACCTATTTTATGGTAATTGGTTTTATTTGTAATCCTCAAATTAGCTCTTCTGTAGTCATTTTAGTAAAAATCTGAAAATAAAATGTCAGAAAGTATCAATTCACGTAAACGGCCAGCAGATGAAATCCCTGAGAGTCACAAAAGTCCCCCAAGCTGCACTGTGGATGTGTCCGGTCTAAACAAAGGTGTCGCTGTGACAGGACGCTGGTAACAAAATGCATGACATCCAGATTGATGTAATTTTTGTGCAGTTGTTTGCTTTTGCGTTGACACAACTCTGATTAGGAGACTTTTAGAGTTAGGTGTACTTGGCACACCCACTCCTGAAAGGATGTAGAGGTTCTACGGTTCTAGAACAAATAGGATGAAACTAGACAAGAGGCTGATGGCCCTTTTCTGGTTCTTTGCACCAGATAAACAGCTGCTGTCAGGGGAACTCATTTAAACTTCTGTGGAAGAAAGTCTGTGAAGAGAGAGAGAAAGGAGTCAGAGAAACAGATCTGAGTTCAGATTCTGTTTCTGTTCCAGCAATGCATCAGAGATGGAAAACCAGGAAGTGATGAGAAATCAGCAGAGCTGCACTGTGTGTGTGTGTGTGTGTGTGTGTGTGTGTGTGTGTGTGTGTGTGTGTGTGTGTGTGTGTGTGTGCTAAAAGGGGATTCCCTCTGTGCTAGCCTGTGACCCCTCACTAATGGCTGTCAGCAGAATGAAACCCAGTTAAAAGACACAAAACTTCAGTTTTTCTGTCCTAAATCAGAAACAGCAGCTGAGACACTCCTTAGTTACAAAGTTGCTATTAAAGTAAACCGGGGGAGATTCAGAGTCGGAGCTGGTTTTGTTTTATAGCAGCACATCTTTGTGATGAAGGAGTCACTTCCAGGTCAGACTAGTCATATTTGATGCTGAACAAGTGAAAAAATCATGTCACATTCTCATCTGGTCAGTTAGCTGGTCCTAGTGTTTATTCAGAATATCTCCTTACCTTGGTCAGTGGAGGCAAGACTAAACTGCTTATTTACAGAAGAAGTAGATCCAAGATGGAGGTGATCTACTGCCCCGTGCCCACGAGCTAACAGCAGCCAGAAGACCTCCACCCAGTCATTGCTGTACCTGAGTCAGTTAATGCTGGTGTTAGTAGCTCAAGACAAAACACATCCTCAGAGCACACAAGGTGCCTATCTCCAGCGGTCAATGGGCAATCAGGTGGGGTACACTCTGGACAGAGAGCCAGTCCATCGCAAGTCAACACGCACACACACACACACGCACGCACGCACGCACGCGCGCGCACGCACACGCACACACACACACACACACACACACACACACACACACACACACACACACACACACATCTAGGGACAATTTAGACCAGGGGCCACCAACCTTTGTGAAGCCCTACTTCATGGGTACTGAGCGATGTTACTGAGCCATACAAAGGGCTACCAGGTGGCTACAACACTGACCTTTGAACTGGAATAGATCAGAGTTAAACTAAACTTCATGCATAATAAACATGTTTTAATGTTTTTTAAAGACTTAAAAAATTATAGTAATCCATTTGTGATTAAAAGATGGCAGCAGATGTATTTATTTATTTTTATCTGCGGGCACCAGGTTGGTGACCCCTGATTTAGAGAAACTACTCAACCTGACAGTCAAATTTTTTTGGACTGAGGGGGGAAGCCAGAGTACCCAGAGAGGACACACACATGCACAGGCAGAACATACAAACTCCTTGCAGAAAGACCCCAGGCTGGGATTTGAACCCAGCACTAGACACTGCACCACTGTGCAGCCCTCAGTTGTAAATAAACATATTAATGTTGCTTTGTGTCTTTTTGTGATGATGGGTCCATGTCTGACATCTAAATGCATGGATCCACTGGTTCAACAGCTCGTCCTTCTCCCCATTGGGTTTAGCAGGAAAACCTTTCTGTGTGATCATGAGAAAATCAGTGAGGTCTAAGTCTGAAGCTAAGGCCCAAGTGTTCTGCTACTGTTCCAGAGCCATCGGGTGACCTTCTACACTGGGAACAAACATGCCAAGACAGGGAAAAGTCTCTCCCAAACCTTTACCACAAAGTCTAAAACACAACTCTGTCCACAATATTATTATACACTTGACTTCAGCGTTGGTCCGTCTGCACGGGCTGATTTATGCAAGAACCAGCTATAGAGAGGGAGCTTCTGGGCTGAGCACTTCACACCTCTTTTTTGCCTAACTTTGGAACATTGCAGAAAATGTAAACATCCCTTTCTGAGAGTAAACACTCATATGTAAACTGCTGTGTAGGTAGGAGTACTAGTGCATTTCTATATTAGGTATTTATTACTTTCCTAGAAAATTAGTGAAGATGAAAGTAGAAACAAATAAATGACTTTATCAGAAACAGCATGTGCTAATGATCGCTGCACAAAAGCCCAGAGCAGGACTTTCATCTTAATGTCTTCCAGATTGTGTAGAAGAATCAACTCTGTTACATCTATGATGCCAGATGGAGCTGAAACATCACAAACATCCACTCTGACAGGGTTGGTCCTAAAAACACCTGCAGCATCACATCTGCTCTCTGGTGGAGGACCTAGGTGCTGCAAGGGGTACAGAGGTAGTGAGCAAGAGAATGTGTGTGTGTGTGTGTGTGTGTGTGTGTGTGTCTTTGTGGCATAAGCAGACATTAGACCTGAAAACGTACAGGCACTATGAGGACCTATGTGTATTAGAATAACTAAGCCAATTTCCACCTAAAACATGAGGTATTTTTTGCATTTTTAAGCCTCTAAACATATCTTCTCAAAAATTTCAGCGACTTTCCCCTGTGTGTGTGTGTGTGTGTGTGTGTGTGTGTGCGTGCGTGCGTGTGTGTGTGTGTGTGTGTGTTTAAAGTCAGACTCACACTGAATGTTAGCAGCTATCTGGAGACACAACATGGTGAGGATTTTAATGTGTCACCAGGTCACAAGGAAGGAACATGTGGTGTAAATAGAAAACTCACTGGAAAAAGTCACAACGCCTCAACTGATTTTATTTGTCATTTGGCTGTGGACCCCTGCCAGAGTTGTCCGTGTTTCTCTAACTCATGGAAACTAAGATAAGAGTTTGATATGTGTTCCTGACACCTGCAACAACTCTGAATAAATTTGTGGTGAACATGTTACAAACTTCAGAGACAGGAGAGTCCTTGTAACTCACAAGAGGACAAAATAAGCTGCCGAATGTCATTAATAAAGTAATTTTGTAGAGATTATTTGTAAAGGTTATCCATTAATCAGATAACTTTCTCACAAATGTACTTTTACGTTTTTCAAAGTAACTGTGGTAACACTGGTTTTGCAGAGTTGCCCATCTCTTTCTCCACTGTAGGGAAGCCATGACTGCAGCCATGTTTTATTTTAAAAACCAAAGTCTGACAATTTGGCAGAAAGTCTGGCCCACTCACCTGAACACAATCAAGGTGTTCTTTATATATTAAATAACTGATCACAGCTACATTTGTTAGAACTATGTGAATTAGCTGGATTTCTATTTTTAGCCAAGAAAAAAATTGTCATGCTGTGCTCTTATTCCAAATATATTTTTGTTTCGTTTGATCACACTCCTGTCTAGTTCATACTGGCACAGCAGGAAACTCTAACAGCATTCTTCTGCACCCCACAACATCATGCCCCTGCTGGCAGGCCTCTCAAAATTTCTTCAGGCACTTTCTAGTGTAATAGTCCA